GAATATTTTATTTTTACACATTGTAAATGATCTATTATGTTAGAATTACTACATCTTTTCTTTCTATATATACAATTCATTTTAGTATGAACTTTTTCTCCTCAACAACAGTATTTATTTAATATTCTATTTTTATTATTTCCTTTATCAAGTTTTTTATATGTCTGCTTTCCTTGATTTACTTTCACTCTTTGTTATTCATTCCAACTACTCTATACTTTTCATATAAACCTAAGAGTTTCACACATTGGATTATTTTCTGGCATTATATTGTTGATACTAATTGGTAAGTGCTTTTTAACATCCTACAAAGATCTATGATTGACAAGCTACCTGGTCTTTCCATACATATGTGACTTTTAGTGTATGTCTTAAAATTAGTAATAAAAGAATAAGTAGTTTCGATTACTGTAGGTTTCTCGTCTTCATTTATTATTTATTTCATTAAATTGTATCTTTCCTTTTTATTAATAAACAAGGACACTCCCAATATTATTTTCAATTGCACTATATTAGTTATGTCTTCATTAACAGCTATTTCTGCAATATGTTTTCCATACATTGGAGGTAACATGAACTCAAGTATCATACACGTTTCTTTTCTAGTAATCCTAGCATTTTTACCTTCTTTTACAAATCTATAAACCATTTAAAATAATACTCTAATGATTTTTTTACTAATATTAGAATTCCTTGTGGTTTTTGAACTTTAGTTGATTCATTATCACTCTTCACCTTTAATACATAAGGCTTATGAAAAGAAACTACATCCTGAAGTACTTTCAATCCAAGACTACTTATTTCCTCCTTCACTATTTAAATTGCTAATTCAATATTTGTTTAGTTTGTGTTAGTTTTGATATTCCTGCCATTGTCACCAACTGATTTATTGTCTTCTAAATGACTTTGTTAGTATGGAACAAATTAATAAAGAGTATATAGAGAAAACTTTATTTAATTTAATTTTTGAATTTTAAAATCTTTTAACTTAATTAAAATATACTGTCTGTCATAGTTGTAAACATACTTCATTCCGCAAAAGAAAAAAAAATATATAGAATTTTTTTTCTAAAATTACCGTAATTTTTTAAAAAGAAATAAAAAAATATATTATCATAATATATATTTTTTTTTAAGTCATCGTCATGTACCAAATAAAGTAAATGATACATCTTCTTTTTTTAAATTGTAGTTATTCACATAAAAAAAAAAGTTATTATTTATTAAAATTTTTTTATTTTAGTGTAGTGACTTTTATCAGAAGTATATATTTATATATATATATATATATTTCATTATTGTGCATACTTCTGAGTAACTATTTTAGAGTAGACATAACTTCACAGTAACCCAGCGATTTAGAATGCACAGAATAAAATATTTTTATTATATTTATTCATCTAAATATTATACAAAAGAGGTTTATAATATTACTTATAAACCAAGAAATAAACAAACAGATTAATAAAGATAATGTAAAGTTGGCTCTACTAATTTAATGAATTTATGTATAATTTTAAGAGCCATAAACAAGTAAACTGTATTTATATAGTTTACTTGGTTGGGAACTCTTTGTTTTCAAGAATCATTTATTTACTTTAATAAAAATCCTATATTTTTATTAAAAATTTAAATTCTCTTTAAATATCAATTTTTTAATTATACATATTTTATTTATAATGTTATGAATAATGTTTGACAACTCAAATTCGGTGCTTTCATCTTAAAAAACATGAGTAATTAATGAAAAACATATTAAATTATATAAATATAATAAACGTGAAAATTTTATTATTATGTATATCAAATTTTGTTTTTAAATTAAAGATAAAATTTCGCTATAAGTAAACTCTTTTTTTTAATGAAATACTTCTTATATTTTTCGAATATTATATTTTTGACAATTAAATCCTTTTCTCTAATCCATCAAAAAGAATCTCACTTTAAAAAATAAGTATATTTTTTTACATATTTTATTTATATAAGGAAACATAAAAAATATTAACAGATAATTTTTTTTTTTTTTTTTTTTATCTAGAGATTTCATGAACAACTTCGTACACTGCGTTTAGCGAGTTATTGTTATTCTTGAAAAGGTAAATAATTTCTTTTATTAATCAAAGACTGATCAAAATAAGTGATTTTTCTGTATTTACTATAGCAAATATGGCTTTTTCATGTTTATTTGTAGATTTCTTACTAGTTAGAATTTCTTTAAACATATTAGACTTCACTCCATTGAATATTCCACAAAATTTAATTGGTTAAACGCTTAAATATGGCTCCACTTTAATTTCTTTGGATGATGAATTATATATATTAAACAGCTCTGTTCTGATATCCAACAAAGCATATATATTCTTTCCATTTGTTTCAACTATTTGTTTGGAATTTATACAAAATTCTCTAATACTATCTTCCATTTGTAATTTATTAATAGATTACTCTCTTTTCATTATTTCTTGTGTATTTTCTTCTTACTTTGTTGTTTTATATAATAACTCGTCTTAACATACATTATTAATTCTATTTATTTTTTTATATATAAGTTCATTTTCCTCTTTTGCATTGTTATCATGATATTTTTCTTTTGGTCTTTATTTCTATTTTTCAACACACTCCTGTTATCTGTCAAAGTAATTTCTCCTTAATGCATATTTTTTCAAATCAGCTTCATTTCTGATTGATTTATTAACTGAGTGTTTGGTGACTTTGTTAGAGAACTGAACAAATATATTAATAAGGGGCATGTAGAGTTGCCCCTACGATTTTGATGTATTTATATATATTTTTAAATGCTTTGAACGAGTGATTCTTAATTGCGTGATCTACTTCGTTCAGTATTCTCTAATTTCAGTAGGCATTTATTTACTTTAATAAAAATATTTATTTCTATTAAAAATTTATATCCTTATTGAATAGTGATCATAAATTAAAGGTTTATTACTTGTTTCTTTGTTATGAGTTACATTCAACTATTAATATATATTGCTGCTGAATTAACAAACATAAACAATTAGTGGCAATACAAATTAATTATATAAATATTAATTACATGAAAATTTTATTGTTATATATATATAATTTTCTCTTACAAAATTAATTAAATCCTACTTCGTTAAAAAAGAAGAATCCTTTTTTTTTTTTTTTTTTTTTTTTTTGTGTGCATGACCAACTTCGTATTCTTCATTTAAGTAGTCCTTTTATTTTCTAAAAGGGTTAATAAAGCCTTTTATTAACCACATTTTAACATGCTCAAATAAAAATATTTTTATTAACTTTATTTGTTTAAATATTATTTAGAATAGGTTGATAATACTATTTATAGACTATATGGCTAATCATATATTTTCCATACAACCATTAATTTTTTATTCTCAAAAAGGTTAGTAATTACTTCTATTAACGTGTAACATATTTCATTGAGTATTCTTTATTATTTTAAGAAGTATTAATTTAATTTAATCAAAATCATTTATATTTATTAAAAATTTAAGTCCTCGTTAATTATTTATTTCTAATTAAATAATTGTTACAATATTATGAAAAATATTTAAAAATTCCAAACCATGGCCATTAATTTAACAAGAATAAGTAATTATTAAAGAACAAATTTAATTCATATATAAAAATTACAAAGATGAAAATTTTATTATAATAAGTATAAAATTTTCTTTTTAAAATTATGCAAAGTTAATTCTTAAGATTCATTTTTTTTCTATCCTCAAAATAAAAAAATATTATTTTAACGTATAAAAGAAACAAAAAAATTTATTATTAATCTTTTTTTTTTTTACTTTTTTCTTTACCTATTGCTTGCATGTTGTTTTATTAATTGTTCATTTAATGACTTTGCTAGAGTATTGAACAATCAGATTAATGAAGAGCATTAGAGTTACCTCTACTAATTTAATTAAGTATAATTTTAATGCTATATACCAGTAAACTGCATTTATATGGTCTACTTCCTTCAGAAACTACTATTTTTGAAAGATATAATTTGCTTTAATAAAGATCCCCATTTTTTTTAAAAATCTAAACTATCATTAATTGTTGATTTTAATTACATATATATTATTTACAGCGTTATGAACAATGTTTAACAATTGCAACACAATGCTTTCAAATTAACAAACATAAATAATTAAAAGAATACAAAACAAATTGTATAAATACTATAAAATACAAAAGTTTCTTATCATTAACATAAAATTTTCTTACATGAATTTAAAACAAAATATGCTACAAGAAACTTTTTAGTTAACATCTTTTCTTTTTTTAATTTTCCAACAATTCACTTTAAAAAAAAATATATATACTTTTTTATGCATTTAAAAATTACAAAAGGAAAACAAAAAAAATTAACAGGTTTTTTCCTTTACTTAGCACGTGCATGTCTAACTATTTATTTTTTATAATACTATTATTTTTTATTCTATAAAAGGTTATTAATTAAAATCTTTTATTATCCAATTTGAAACAAAAATAAATTTTTTGCAGTAAATTTTGATAAGAAGTAAAAGTAAAATCTTAAAAATATATTTAGCAAAAAAAACTTATAAAAGTAAAAAAAAGTATTTTTTTTAATTAGTAAATTTGCATAACTATCTTACTATTCTATATATTTATAACTATTCATGAATAGTTAATGCCTTTTATTAAATAATACATTAAAAAAAATTATATGTCCTTTTTTTAATTATGTATAAATGAATATATTTAATACTTACGAATAAGACAAAATAAATTAAATAATGAATTAAACTAAGAGATTATGAAAAATTAAAATAATTTAGTGTTGTATTTTTATTAAAATTATAATATATTTTTTTTTGTTACTGTTTTATTTGCCCACAAAACATTAAATAAAAAGTATAAATAAAAGAATATATAATTAAAAAAAATGAAGCAATATATTAAAGCAAGAATTCATTATAAAAGTTCTAAACACGTAATTTAATGAATTGAATATTTTTCCACTGACATTATAAATACATTTATTAATTATATTCTAGATTATTAATTAATGGTTTATAATTTATTTTTTTATAATTAAAAATGGAATTATAAAATGTGGGAACATTTTGGCAATTTAAGTGGTACCACTCATCCTTACATTTTTTTACATATTTCCTAAACCAGCCTTCTATTACCTTACAAACCTTAGACAACTCTTTTTTTTTTTTCTTGAAAAAAGTAGAGCACTCTTTATCATTAGGACGGCTTTCCCATAATAATGTATACTCTGCAAGAACTTTATCATTGAAATCTTTTATATCATCCGATATTTTATTATACCAGTGATTGAAATTTTCTTGTTCCCACTCTCTTCCAAATAAAGAATATCTTACTCCTAAATCAGAACATACATTTTCCCAATCAAATAACATCCTTTTTATGAGTAAATCTTTTATATTATTAAAATGTTTATTATATTTTCCATATGACTTATCCGTGTTTAAAATGTTTCTTTCGAAAAAGATAAAGATAAAAAAAAAAAAATAAAAAAAAGATTTAAATGATTATTTTTTTTTAAGGAGAAAAAAATC